TTTAACCTCTGGAATCTCTGTGTGGTGATAGGATAGCAGCAATTTATGTATTACAAGAATATTTTTCTTGTAATACTACTTTCTGTTTTATCCCTTGTAGAACATTCAAACTGGCCTGCTTGTATCTTTATCTCCCTATCTTTGCACTGGCCATCTCCCCATGCCAGGAATTTTGTCCTCACCTCCAACTCTTAAAATCCCTGGTTTCCTTCAAGACCCAGCTCAAAGACTACCTTCTTCACCAAGCCATTCTAGATCCCCGTTGTAAAGGACAAGGTATCATGCTCCCACAATTTAAGATAACCTTTGACATCTTACAACATCAGCAAAGAAGTTACACTGTTTTAATAAGCTTGCAAAACCTTGAAAGGGCAAGCCAATGAGAAGGGCCCTAATCTTTCAATAGACTCCAAAGATCTAGAGAGAAGAACCGGTTTTAACTAGCCCAAAGTAGGACAAAGGGCATGGGCTTTTGGATGAGGAGGGATGTGGGGGCATGTTGAGGGGACATGGGATGGGTGGACTTATAAGATTGTAACCCGGAAAGGACTGGACAGATCCTGGCCTGGAAGGGAGGCGTCTCGGCGTTCCAAGAACATAAAACTTTTTCTTGCTCTGTAATCGGTGCAATCTCTTTGCAGAGGTTTGCCTGGTTCTCCCAAGAGCCGTAAAATAAATGATTCTTGACTCACTCCGAGCTTAGTTTCGTTTTTAACTAGAGGGCTTGATTTCTCTAAGCCTTATTTCTAACACCCCTGCTACTAGGGCCTATTTTGCATATTATTCATATAATATTTGCATATTGTTATTATATGATAGAATATTGCTCATTGAAGGCAGGGATTGTTTTGCTTTTGTCTTTCTGTCCTTACGTTGGTACAATGCTGTCACAAAAGCAACAACAAATGCTTGTTGCTTCCTTGTTACAATAGAAAATTCTCAGGAATGAAACATAAAACTCATGGATATGAACCTCAATAAGTCTTTAGTAAATGAAATTTATTTCCATGGGAATGTTAACTAAATTTTACTGGAAATTAATGTAAAAGGAGATGCAATTCCTATTCCTTTTTGCTGCCTTGTGTTGAATTAGCATGCCATTTTTGGTTTTTTGATAACATAGAGCAATAAAATACAGAGGCAAATATAATTATTGTTTCTAAATGGAACGTAAAACATTTCTCATTAATTTATATGAAATTATATTTCTATTTTCTGTAGCCTTGAAGGCATAGCCTAATGCCATTTTGCAAAATAAGCTTGCTTGTAGCTTGAAGAATATGTTTACAGGATTGGTATTTGAATCTTTTTCTCTCAGCAAACCAGGAGAGAATGTTATTCCAGAAAACCTAGAGAGAAAAGAGTATAAGAAAGAATGGGATTGACAGTATCAAAGACTGCAGAGAAGTTAAGGATGAAAACTGAGAAAAGTGCATTAGATTTGACAATTATAGAATCATTGGTAATTTTGCAGAGAGCTATTTCTTTTTGTGCTATGAGCTGTTCCCCCACTTAGGATATGACTTTCCGTCTAAGCACTTGTCAAGGCTCCCCCTCCCCCTCTGTTGTAGTTTCCTTTCGAACTAGGTCTAAGGTAATGGTGGATTTCTGATTCATCTGGCCAGTTAACATCCCATATTGTTTCTGATTCTTGATACCCAGAGAAAACATTGGTTTGCTTTGTATCTGCCTGAATGTGCAGTCTCTTTTGCTCGATAACCATGGGAATTCCTTAAGGTTCTGTCCTGGGTTCTCTTCTTTTCTCCTTCTATATTATTTCACTCAGTCATCTCATTTACTCCCACAGATTCAACCATCACCTCTATACAGATGATTCTCAGATCTACTTATCTACACCTAACCTGTCTTTTGACCACAAGAATTATATCTCCAACTGCCTATTAGACATCTCAAAATGCATGTCCTGTAGATATCTTAAACTCTACATGCCCAAAATTCAGCTCATTATCTTCCTTTTTTCTTAACCTACTTAATTTTTTTATATTTTATTTTTTCCTGTTGCATCTAAAAATAATTTTAAATATTCTTTAAAAAATTTTTGAGTTCCAAATTCTCTCCCTTCCCTTCCCCCTCACCGAGAAGGCAAGCAGTCAAACTCATTATCTTTCTTCCAACATTGCCCTCTGTTCAAAAGTCCTTGTTACTGTCAAGAATACTACCATTCTCCTACTCAGTCATGCAAGCTAGGTGTCAGCCTTGACTCCTTACTCTCATAACCCATATCCAATTTGTTGCTAGTGATGTAGATTCTACCTTCACATCTCATGAATATCTATTCCTTAGGCTTTTGTGACACTGCCACAACTCTGGTGCATGCCCTCATCACTTTACAACTGGATTATTGCAATAGCCCTTCTGGTGGTCTCCCTGCCATACAAATCTCTCCTCACTCCAGTTCATTCTCTACTGGGCAGCTAAGGTGATTTTCCTAAAATGCAGGTCTGACCAAGTCACTCAATAAACTCCAGTTGTTCTTCATCACCTCCAAAACTAAATATAAAATCCTATTTGGCATTCAAAGCCCTTCATAACCTGTTCCTCCTCCTTTTCTAGTCTTCTTACACCTTATACCCCTCCTCCCTCTACATGTTCTTTGATCCAGCGACACCAGCCTCCTTACTGCTCCTTGAACAAGACATTCTGTCTCCCTTAGGTCTTCTCTCACGTCTAGAATGCTCTCCCTTCTCATATCTACTTTCTGGCTTCCTTCAAGTTCTAGCTAAAATTCCACCTTTTACAGGAATCCTTTCCTAATCTTATCTTACTTGTAGTTCCTTCTCTGCTGATCATTTTCAGTTTATCCTGTATATACCTCATTTGTTTTCATGGCCCATTAGATTGAGTTTGAGAGCAGGAACCGTCTTTTTGCCATTTTCTCAGCCAGTGCTTAGTATACTGCCTGGCAACATAGTGGGAACTTAATAATTATTGATTGCCTGATGCACTTCTGACCCTGTCACCCCCTCTTAAATTAACTCCATGGCCCCTCACTTCCTCCAGGGCCAAATAAAAAATCCTGTTTCATTTTTAAAGCCTTTCATAACCTGGTCTCTTTATAACTTTCCAGTCTTCTTACATCTTACTCCCCTCCATGTCTCCTGAAGTCCATTGACGCTAGCTAGCCTGAATGCTGTTCCTCACACAGGACACTCTGTCTTCCAACTCAGGCCATTTTCACTGTCTTCTCCCTCTTTATATCTCTACCTTATAGCTTTAATGCCTTAGTTGTAGCCTCACCTTCTTCAAGATGCCTTTCCCAGTCCTTAATCTTAGTGTCATCCCCAAGATTATCTCTTAATTTACTTTCTACATATCTTGTTTATACACAGTTGTGTCTGTTCTACGAGTGTGAGCTCCCTGATAGCAGGGACTAAGATTTTGGGGTGGTTTTTTTCTTTTGGACTTTCTTTGAATCCCCAGGGTTTATTTATAGCACTGTGCTTGGTCTACATAAGTAGACTCTTCAATGCTCAATGCCGGACTTTAATCAATCAACAAGCATTTTTATTAAAGGCCTATTATAAGCCAGGCACTATGTTGCTTACAATACAAAGACAAAAAGTAAATAGTCCCTGTTCTTAAAGAGCTTACATTCTATTGGAGGAAACAATCTGTATGCCGGTAGATAAAATATATGCAAAGTAAATACAAGATAATTTGTGGGGGGGAGGGGCTAGCTCACAGTCCTGGTGTACTTACTAGAAACTGGTGGAGTCGGGGGGTGGGGTGGGTTGGGGAATCAAGGAGGGCCTCCTATAAATTGATAAGATCTCAAAATCTATTAAAGGTCCTGCAGGGAGCCTTCCACCACTGATAAACCCTTGGAGCCATCTTTCTTTCATGTCTACCTGCGGCAGCACCGTTATTGAGACTGTAAAGCTCTGGAGGGCAGAGATTGTCTTTTGCCCATTTTTGTGTATCCCCACGACTTAGCACAGTGCCTGGCACATAGTAGGCGCTTAATACATGGATAATTGAGTCTCTGTTAATATCTCTCCTCCTCCATGCCCCTCTCAGGGATCACTTTCCCAGCAACAACGGAGAAAACAGTGTTTGGATGTCTGGTCAGACGACGAGTAGGAGACTTAAGAGGGAGTCATACAAAGGAAGAGGGGTGGCAGTTTCAAGGCGAGAGAAGATAAACCAACACCTTAGCGCCCACACCCCCAGTCATCGGGCGTGCGGGTGGGGGTGGAGCGGGGCGCGCGCTCTGGCCGGCTGCCGCGGCCCCCAAGGTCGCAGGCCACAAAGGCACATTGCTGACGCTCCAGCCCAGGGGCGGGGGCGACAGTGTCCATGGAGATGGCAGTCGGGGAGCCTCTCCAGACCTTCCAGGAAGGAACCAGTCCCTTAAAATCCAGGTTGCGAGGCTACCAAAAGCAGTGCTGTGTGCGAAAACTTCCACCTCGGGGTGCTAAGAGAGTCAACATCAAGCCCGAATCCCCTACCCTACCATCCGCGCCGGTCCCTTCCCCGGACCCCGTCTCTATTTCTGCGCAGCCTCAGAAGCCGCGAGGAGCCGGGAGCGACCCCAGGCCAACATCGTGCGCGCGGTGCTCCTCCTTCACATGCGTAGACCGTCGCCGAACTTCGCAGCGGCGGAGGGAACAGGCGCGCGACCTCCCGCTCCTTTCCGGGTCTTCCCTTCTTGCCGGCTGTTCCCTTCCGGGTCGCTGCCCGCTTCCGGGTGTGTCTGACAAGGCCCGTTCCCGTCCCCGGTGCTCGCCGCTCACCGTCGCCTCGGCCGCTTCTCCGCCCTCCACCCCCTCCTTTTGTGTGTCTCCCACTTTCTCCGTCTCCACCTCTTTCCTCTCGTCCCTCGCTTCATCTTGGAGCAAGCAGAGTCGGCGCCCTTCGGTCTCTCGGCAGAACAAGCGAACCTCAGGGGCTGGAGCCGCGGCCCAGCTGCACCGGGTGGACCCGGCACCCCGCCCGCCGCAGTCGCAGCCGCCGCCGCCCCCCTACCTCCGTCGTCACTCCTGCGGTCTCAGAGGGTCCCGCGGCGGCTGGTGCCGGTGACAATTCACTTCCCCGAGGACTACTGTGAGTGTCCGGGCAGGGCGGGCTGCGGACCTGGGACCGCTGCACGGCTTCCCTGGCCGGTCTTGGGGCTCCTCCGGCCCCAGGACTGCCCACCCTCCCTCTCCCCTCCCGAAGCCCCCAGGCAGCTTTGTCCCAGAGCTCCTCCTCCTCTTCCTCCTCCTCCTTCTCCTGCGGGTTTAGAAAGCGAGTCCAAGCCCGTCCCAGGGGGTTGAAGCAATCAGTGCTTGGTTTGGAGGATTGCACTTTTGGAATTGAGGGGAGACGGGAGAGCTGCAGGTCGTGCGTGTGTCTGTGTTTGTGCAAGAATTAGCCCCCCTATTGTCTCTCTCTGGGGCTAGGCAGACCCCTGGTAATTAATTATGTATGCGTCCTTCCCACTTATCCGAGCACCGGAAATGAGATTCCTGTCCTAGCCCCGGGTGTCGACTCCTCTGTCTTTCTGTTCCTTTGAGGGAAGGGTGGGGCTTCTGTTTGTTTTGGTTCCTTAATTTACTCTCTTTCTTTCTCCTTCCCCCATCTCTTCCAACCCTTTTTTGGTTTTTGAGGGTATTGAAGAGTGTTGAGTATAACGTGACCTCGGCGTTTTTTTTTACTTAGGAGAATAAAGGAAATCGAAACTTAAAATCCCAGTGTAATGCCCTTGCACTTAGTGTTGTGCAACTACGTTTTTCAAGTATTAGTCTAAAACAAATTCTTGTTACGGTCTTAGTTAAAAATTTTCACTTCTCATTTTGCTTTTCTCAAAAATCACTTTTCCTAAATGTTTAAAAGTTAAAAAAAAAAGAGGGCTTGAGATTCATGGTTTGTTTTTGTTTTGTTCAAGCTCTTTAGTTATAATTAGCTAAGGATGCCTTTCCTGAAGTTACTAGTAGTCTAGCTTTGAATACTATTGATCTGTATCCTGGGCATGATGCTTCATCTATTAAAAGCTTGTCTAGTTTTTGGCTTGATAGAGGAGCAGGGAGCTTATTTTCTCTGGTTTGGAGAAACTGTGATAATTTAGGGGGTTTTCTGGGATTTGGGGATGGGCTGTACTAATAATACCTCTTAAGTCGAATGAAATTGTGTCTATGGAGTGAGTCAGCCAGTCTTCTGGGACTTTTCTTGTATTTGGGCTTGTCATTTTTTGGGCAATTAATTCTCTTAATATTACCTCAGTAATGGACCATCTCTTGAACCCTTTTCAGCTTTGAACCCCTGGACTAGATTGAGAGGTAAGTTGAAGTTTGGGTCAGATAGTATGGTACAGAGGAAAGAGCACTGAATTTAGAGTCAGAGGACCTAGATTCAACTTCTCTGACTCATCTCTCGAACAAGGGAATTGTGCTGAATTTATTTCAATTCAATAAGCATTTATTAAGTGGTTACTATGCCAGGCCCTGTGCCAAGCTCCTTAACCTTGAGAAGCTTGTCTTTTATGGAATGTTCGAACGGTAGGGAGAACAACATGTAAATAAAATCTAGAAAGTAATTTTTGTGGGGAAGGGAGGACGCAGGTATAATATGAAGGGCAGTTTGTTAACAATAGAACAGGGATTTCAGAGGCCACAATGGAAAGATAGAGAAGAGTGAGATAGGGACACCACAGGGATGGGGTTGAGCATGGACAGGAAGGAGGGAGATGATTAGGGAAGGAAGTTTGGGCCTAGGAATCCTACATTCAGTCTGTTCTAAATGGAGCCATACGGGAGTAGATATTCACTCACTTCATAGGAAAAAAGCTAAAGATGATTTGCTTATCAGTTCCTGAGAAGGAACTGGAGGATGGGGAAATAGTATAAGATATAGGGATGGAGTCCAGTCCCAGATACTGCCTAGCTGTTAGGGCAAGAGTTGGTGGTGTCTTGGGATCAGGATTGTTATAAGAGGGATGAGGCATATTTGAGGTACTAGCCTACAGTTAGGTCACTGCCTCAACAAAGATGCTAATGTTGAGGTTCCGTGCAGCTGCAAATCCTATGATGTAGGATTTACTATAGAACTGTATATGACTCTAGAATATTTTGTGATTGCTGACATGGATTCAGAAGAAAAAACAAAGCTTATTATGTGTAGTTACAACTAAGATGTTTGTATAGAGTTTTAGTTGATAGAAATTAATTTAAAAGGCCATCTGAATTACAATTTAAATAGCATTTCTAGATAGTATGGAATACATCTGTTGCAACAGAATTGGCTATAAGGCATATTTCATCATGCTTGAACCCTATTTGATTGTGTTTCCCATCAACTCATATTATAAAAACCAGAAATTGCATTTGGTAGGACACAAGTATGCTCAGTACTGGGTAACAGTGACTTATAAGGGAGTTGCAGTATGTACCTGTAGCCAGGGTCTCTTGGAATTTCATCTAGTTTTCACCACTGTCCATTCCACGCTGGGCGTGGAAATTCTAGAACTCAAGAGTCTGCATTGCTGACAGTATTGAATCCTGGTTATTAGAATAAGAAGCCAGGCTTCTCAGCCTTACTTCACTTGGCTAGGGTGGCTGACTTCTTTTCTTGGTGTTAGTGTCCTGATGCTTAATTTCTGCAGTGGAGGTTGCCCAGGTTAATTGGGACATGATAGGGGCAAGGTATTGTGGTGTCTATCCTACAGTACGTTGTAGGATCCTACAATGTGCTGTGAATCTTGAACTGTGCCTGGTACGTAGTTCTATGTTATGGTATTTACAGAAAAAATGGACAAATTTTGTATATATTATTTAGATAATGAGGGGAGCTTCTTATTTTCATAATTCATTTTCGGGTAACATATTGTACTGAATCCCTCTTCTTTTTTTATCAATTCTATAAGATTATTAGGTGCATTAGAGAGATATTTATAAATAAAATAGACTAATAAAGGTAAGATGTTTATATTTCATTTGTTTTTTTTTCTGATCCTAAATTTTACATGATAAAAAATTTAGTTTTCCCAAATAATCTGTTGGGGTAACAACTATATGATGAGCTTTTAAAATCTGTTTATTTGTCATTTATGTGATTCATCTAGATAAGTATTTTAATATGTAAATGGATTTCTGATCTCACAGTGGGGTCACTACAGTGGTATAGGACATAGCTACACCTCATATGTATGATTCCTGTCCATATTACTGTTAAATCCTTCACTAAGGATTTTCCCAGTCTAGTAGAGGTGTTCCTTTATGTTTTTTATGTTCCTTGGGTAGCACGGTGATTATTTACCTGGTATCCCTTTCTCTTATTACATGTCTGGCCTACCTCCTTTTTTGATATAACTTGGGAACTTAAGATAAAGACGCAATGATAACCAAAGTATTTTATACAAATTATATTTGGAAGATACTAACATTTAGTTTAATTATCAGAGCATTTTTAAATTGACTGTATCAATGCTATATACTGTAAGATGTGCATATTATGAACTAATCTTTAAAAAAAAATTGACTAGTGGACAGAGGAGAAAATTGTAATATTTTCTTTTTATGTTAATCTAGGTACCAAAATACATGTTCACTTCTAGTGAACAAGAGCATGTTCCCAAATTCCTCGAACTTGGGTCGTCCACCCTTCCATCCAAAGTATCAGCAGCCCAGTAACTTCTTCAAACTTCCCTTCAACTTGTCCCCAACTCTTTCTCACCAGCAGATTATAGATACCCAGTTCAACTGTCAAAATGTAGAGTAAGTATAATGCTTTCTGAATTTTGACACAGAACCTTTTTGGGCTATGGAGTTGCTAAAAAGTATTGCCTTATTCTGCCCTGGTCAGACTATATCTTGTGTTCATTTCTGGGAGCCACATTTTAGGAAAGTCAGTTGATAAGCTAGAGAAATCTAGAAGAAGGCATTCTGGGTTGAGATCATATGAAGCTCTTTTGAAGGAACTGGATATGTTTAATCTAAAGAAGAAAGACTTGAGCAGGGATAGTTATCTTCCAGTATTTGAAGAGGTGCAACAGGGAAGAGGGATTAGACTTATTTTGCTTGTTCAAGAAACAATGGGTGGTATTACAAAGTACTAAATTTAGACTAGATATAAAGAAAAACTTTTAATAATTGGAGCTATCCAAAAGTAGAATGGTCTACTTTAGGAGGTAATGATTCCCCCCTCATTAGAGAACTTGCTTTAGATTGGAAAACGACCTGTTGGGTATGTTGTAGAGAAGATTCTTGTTCAGTTATTATAGGTTGTACTAGATGGCTTCTGACATCCTGTCTAATTTTGAGATTTATTATAGGTTTGTTTATATATGTGTATAGGTTTGTTTCTTCTTTGGAATGTCTGTTGTTGCCCCCAATTTTTTTCTTTAAAAAGAATATACCATTAACCATTAACCTATGAACTTTTTTTTTTAGTCTACCAAGAACTCTCTTAGGTGGGAACCTTTCACCTATCCCAGCACAGTCATTATCTTATGGAAATGGAAGTCCAATACGAACATCAACTTCTCCAGTGTTCCGAGGAAGAAAGTAAGTACTTTTAAAGATAATTATTTTGAAAACTAACAAAGAACCTTTATATAGTAGTGGTATTTCTAATTATTTTCTGAGTTTGTCAGTGAGTTGGGGACCAAATTTTGCTTTAGTGACTTAGGCATCTGAACAAGTTAATTGGATAAAGGTGTAGGAGGCATAATGGTTTAGACGAGAGAGTCACTGTGAGAAAACACTAGGTTTGGAGTCAGAGGATTAGATTGAAGTACTGGCTTAGAATGGCAAATGGGCAGGATATAGAAAGAATAGTATCTTATCATCCATGGTTCTCTGGTTTGGCTTAGAAACTTAGAATTTTTGTGTTGAAAGCATGGGCCTTGGGCCTTGGACCTTAGACATTTTTCAGTATGTTCTGTGCCCCTCCCTCTAACACTCCCCCCCCCCATACTTAACTAGTTAACTAGAACCAGGCTCCCCTGGTCCTATGTTTTGCCACTGTATCATGCTGCTTTTTTCATTTTGGATATTGCACTTAATTACTAATCCCTGAGACATAAATTTAGTCTTTAATTCCTTGGTTTATTATAATTTCTGTGGATTTGAGAACTTTTTCCCATTGTTGAAAGGAAGATAGTGTGGTAATGATGCTACAATGGAAAATTTTAAAATTTCTTCCCTTCTAAAATAAATTCCAGAGACTGTCTAATCCCTCCATTGTGAAAATGAAAAAATGGAGGCCCAGAAAGGCTAAGTGTCTAGTTGAAGATCACATTACAAGTTAGTGACTTTGGTTCAAGTAACTGGGGAGATTAGAAAAAGAAAATTATTTTTAAAGAATTTTAAAGAATGATAATAAATATATTGAAGTTACACTTATATAAATCTTTTTTTTTCTAAAGTAATCTTGTCAGTTCTATCTTGTTTCTAAATTAAATGTTTCTGGTTGGTCTGAATATGCCTTAAATGAATCATGTTTAGTTATTTGAAACTAAGGCATTACATTTATATAATAACTTGATTAAAAAATATATAATTATAAATGAAAAGTTCACTGTAAACTTCAACAGAAAACTTCTATATATTGAATGGCTTTTATGGTAAAGGATCTTTTTAAGCCCCTCAGTTTTATCAGATTTTTCACTGAGAATAAAAATACGGGTGTGTCTGTATCTATATCTATATTTGTATACTTATGTATAAATATAGATAGACATACTTTATTGCACCAATTTTATTATGAAAGTGTGTTTTGATTTGGGAAAATATATCAGATTTTTAAAAAAAGGTCATGGCTGGCACTTTTGTAAGATTATTGTTAGTCAGCTCCAGTAGTTTCATTATATTCCCATGGGTGTAATTGTGTTTTTCTCCATATTTTATGTCACTTTATGTTCAATATTAACATTGTCTTTAGCTATGGAATAGTGGTTCTCTATTGCAAATGAAAGTGCACACTTGTATTATTTCTTAGATTTCTCATTTGGGATTTGATTCCATCTATAACTACTGGTGCTATGTTGAAAGTGTTACAGTTGTGTCATTTTTTTTTAATTTAGTCTTTAAGCAGTTTATTACTGGATGTGGTCATAGTGAATCTTAATCAGAATTTTTTTTTTAACAGGAGATTAAGCAACGAACAAAATGTTCCTCTTGATGTTAAACGGCAGCGGTTTCATTCACCCCACCACGAGTCGACTGTAGCTAACCAAACAGTGCCTTTACCAGATGAAAGACGATATTCAGCACCAGGATCAGTTACTCCGCCATTGTTGCATTCCTATTATGTACCAGATTTAGTCAGATCTGTTCCACCTTTTCGTGAGGCACCATTTTCAGAACCTAGAGAAATAACGCTTCCAGTGGCCAAAGATGAGGTAACATGCATACAAATTTCATTTTGTCTTTTGGGAATTTATTTAATTGCCTTCTTTTTAAATAAAATACCTTACATATAGTAGGTGTTTAATAAATGTCTATTAAATTGTTAATAATAGAAGAAATCTTCATGGATGTCAGGAAAGTCAACTGTTTTATGACAAGTAGGTCTGGTTTTTTTGACATTTCTTAAAAGTCCTCATGTACCAAATAGTAACATGTTTTACAATTTTTGTTAGCTATTCTACTGTGAAAGCCTTTGTATCTTATAATTTTCTGAGGTTCATAAGCAACACAGATTAGAACTGAAAGTAGTTAATTCCCTAGTCCATTTTTAATTCATTGAACTCAAATCTTATCTTTTAAACATGAGAGAAGTTTAAAGTGGCTTTTGTAATAATTTATAAAGTCACTTCCTTTTGTTACAATTTTTTTATCAAAGGATTTAAGGGTTTTTTGTTGTTGTTTTTTTTGGTGACTATCAAAGGATCCCAGCAATTACTGAGGAGAAGTGACTCATGCTAAGTTACTAAGTGACAAAACTAAGATTAGGAAGAATGGGTATCTAAAGTGTTATTTGCCAAATAACATTTTAGATGAAATAAAACTATTTAAATTAGTATTCTTGGAAAATAACTCCATCAACATGGAGGAATGTGTTTTTTTAAGCATCCAAATTTGGAAGCATATATACGTGTTCCATATTCAGTTAAAATTCAAAACTAGGCAATCAAGAAGAAAATTCATTATATAACTTTCTTTATTCCTTGGCCTGTTGTGGACTTACATTTAATTTTCATATAGTTTTGAACTTGCCCCAGTTCTTAACTGAGATTCTTGGAATTATATACTCTTCCATCTTTGCTTGCCAGGAAAAATAGGACAAAAAACAAGGAGAAGAAGAAGAAAGACTTAAATTAGAAGTGACAAATTTGGGATGTTCTAAAGGACTTCCTTTGTTCTTCCTTCTTGATTTCATTCACCTTTTAAAGAGAAAATTTTTTTTATGGCAATAAGGAAGTTGGCACATTGCACAAACTAGTTTTGTGATTTGGTGGATGCATATGAGATTTCCTTTTATGATAATTTTGTTCATTTACTTGACAAGTATGTATTATAGGCAATGTGCTAGGCACTGGGGAAGAGACTTAGTCTCTTCTTTTTAGTCTAGTAGATGTATATTCCAGTAGTCCAGAACCACAAGAAATCTTAAGTCAATGTGAACTGCTTATATTTGTGGGTAGGTATAACTCTAAATAGATTTTATTATGTAAAATTCATTTAAAGTTCTTTATTGTTTTTTGCAGTGTTTCTAATAGATAATTGTTATTTATAAGTTTCAGATATACATCCAGAGCAGACGTGTATTTTTTTGTATTCTTCCTAATTCAAGAACAAATAATTGATGTCATTTAATTCTTGGTATATACCAGAACCCTTTCTTTAACTTTCTAACATATAAGAAAATTTTCCTATACCCTAGACATTAGGGATCAAAGTATCTATCATTGAAGAAGTGAGAGTGGGAAATGGGATAGCACTAACTTTTCTGTGTTCGTTACTGTCAGCTTGCCTAATAGCATAGGAATCAAAACAAGCAATGGGTTTTGTTTTCTAATGTGTGACATTCCCCAGAACAAAATTTCTTTTTCACTTTTAGGACCCATTTTGTGTATGTTTTGTAAAAGTTCTTAGATCACTACGTTGATATCTTTGAATATTTTTTCTTGGTTATAAAATTTGTTTATTTCAGTATATCACTATATTAATGATATTCTGCCTTTACCATAATAGACTGCAGCTTTGTCAGACCTTGGGCAGATCACTTAAATTTTCTGTGTTTCGGTTTCCTCAACTATAAAATGAGAGGATTGTTCTCAATGACCTCCTAGGTCTATTTTAGCTCTAAATCTATGAACTGTAAATCCTTCACAGAAAATGTGCCCAGTATGCCAGTTTACCATTCTCATTCTCTCTACTTGACTAGCCCACATCATTTTCTGATCATATATGTCTTCTATAATGTTTCTGCGCTTTACATTGCTCTTTGACTTATTTGTCTTTTTAATTCTTTTGAGATTGTGGTATTTCAGTATTTATGGCCATGTAATGTCAATGGGAAAATACTGTTAGATAAAGGTTGTTGCATTAGTAATCATGTTGGAGTTATTGAATTCCTGCCCTGTTTCCCAAGTGCAATCCAGCCAGAGTTCTTCCTGCTTGTTATTTCTGGATCCAGGAGTCCCTTAATTCCGTAAACTTCCATTTTTTGCGTGTTTTCAGACCACTGTATTTTTATTGTTTTTTTCTTCTTCTTGGATTGTAGGTAAATATGTGATTTTTCTGATCAATAAAAATATAACTATAGAAGTATGAGGGACATTCTTTAAAGATACTGCATTCCATCTGTTATATGTCTCTTGAAAAAATTGTGTTCTGTTATCACGTTGTTAAATCATACTTCTAGTGAAAGAGGATAATTTTATTTTAGCCTAATTCATAGATGTTATTTGCATTGACATAATACCTAATTAAGAAGTTTTTAATATTCTGAAATTAGATTGAGATTTATTTTTTCATGGTCTATAAAGAAATCATTTGCATTAATAATGTAAAATTGTAGGAAGATTTTTCTTTTTTTAAATTTTTTTTGGTTTTTATTTAGTCATTTATTTTGTGAGGCAGTTGGGGTTTAAGTGATTTGCCCAGAGTCACACAGCTAGGAAGTATTTTGTGTCTGAGGCCACATTTGAACTCAGGTCCTCTTGACTCTGGGGCCTGTGTTCTGTCCATTGTGCCATCTAGCTGCCCCTTAAGATTTTTCAAACTACTAAAATGAACAGATGTTTTATAGATATTACCAGGGATTATAGGGGCCCACTTACAGTACTAACAATATGATAAGTACAAATGATTATTTTTATTAAAATAGATTCTCCTCCTCAAGAGGATTTCATATGGTTCAAGTTATACATTTTAAAGCAATAATATTTCATTTATTTAAACAGCTCATTTATTTACATATTTAAATTTATTTATTTATTTTTAATATATTTAAATATATGTCAAACATTTAATAAGTACCTGTGTGCAGAGCACTATGTTAGGTATTGGCAATGATAAGTTTATTAGGTAGATCTCTTCTTTCATGGGACTTATAGTTTGTCAGTAAGAGGTTATTAGCTGTGAGCTCTAAGACACACATAAGTAGCTATGATATACAATAATATATGACACATATATTAGAGAAATTGTAGCACAAAGTGCAGTGTGAAGTCCAAGGGATTAATTCATGGAAGAAGTAACTTTTGCAGTGAATTTTAAAGGAGTGGTTGAAAGAGGGAAAAAGCAGAGGAAGTGAGAAGGGAAGACTGTCAGGGGATAAGAAATAACTAAAAGCTCCTTGTCCAACATAGGCCAGATAAGCAAGATTTTCTTATGTTTTAACAAAATAGAAAAATTAACCATTATTTTCTATAAAGAGCATTGTGTTATTTCAGACATCAGTACTATCTTAGCCTGTTAATTTGTAGTTTGCTTATGTGAGAAAGAAACAAGTTACTTCTCAAAAGGTTTTGTTTTCTTGGAAAATTTTTATCAATATTTTCCATATGTAAATTGAATCTGATAGTGAGAAAACTGGAATAAATGCCAATTTATACTGAGATTTTTAATTAACTAGAAAACCAGTTTCTTGAATTCCAATTTCTCTTATTCCTAGTTTGGATTTGTGGCCCCTTGCTGGACTCATAGAATCTTAAAGATGCAGTGTGTTTAGAGATCAACAAATCTAACTCTCTAATTGAGTTTCCAATCCAGTGCTCTTTCTACAACAGTGCTAATTTGCATGGCTCACATCTGTACCTTTAAAGCTATCAGGTAACATTCTGCAGAAAACTGCTACTGTTTTTCATATAATTTCAGATCTTGTTTGTCATTCCCATCAGAAAAATACCTCTTTCCCTGCCCCTTCCCCCAAGACAGTTTTACTCAGAAAACCATCTCACAGCTGACAGATGGAGAATGTGTACTGAGAACAGCATGTAAAAGTTATCCCCTTCAGCTTTACACTTGTCAAGATATTCACAAATTTTCCAGAAGAATGTAAAAAAGTAGAAGCCTTAAAATATATTCACTGTTCCTTACAATAAAATGTACTTGCACTAACAGTAACTTTATTGCTAATTTTGTTTTAAAATGGCTTTGGGAATAGACTATGATGTTATTTAGAATTTGGACAGTGTGCACTTGGATGAAAAATCAATTTTTAATCTTCCAAATTTTCTGTACCTTTTCAAATGTGTTGTTTCATTTTGAGCATAAGTAACTCAATGACAATGCAAAATTACTTCCTCGTATAATTACTTTTAAGTGGAAAAAAAGGTAATTAGATTTTGATGAGAGCCCAAAAAGGATAAGGTATTCTGTATAATTCTTCTTGTACTTAGAAGAATGGAGAAATTTTTAGAGATAAAAATAATGCTTTTAAACTAGAAACTAAAACCTTATGTACCTAAACCATCAGCAGTTAAATTTTTTCTTTGGAAAAACATTGATACTTAGGTAGATAAGTATAATCCTGGATCACTCCTGTGCTTACTACTCTTGTTCATTTTAAAATTAATATCATTTATTTAACTAGAGATATGAACTTTGAGCTGCCTCTTGAAATATTTTTCTGCATCTTGCACAAGCATATGCATCTGTCTGAATCTTACCCTATCAGCTCACTCTACTGTCTATGTTTACTTGATGACAAAGAATCAAGCCTAACAGAGACAATGAGGATTCCTAAGTGTACAGCTAGCTTACCAAAGAAGCTTTTCTTGCAAGTAATTTCCTTCAGAAAGTTTGTGGGAGGGGAGAATTATTCCTATTCACAGTAGCCAAAAGAGAAAAAGGAGATGAGAAAAGGTAGAATTTTAGAATCCCAAGATGACAATTTAATTTTAATTCAGCAAATATTTATTAAGCACCTACTAGGCACTGGAGATACCAG